CAACAAGAGAGTCCTCGAAACTAACTTTTCTTCGCATATATTAAGTCAATCCTTGACCAAACTCTCACTTCTCGTTCTGACATGGCAAATCTACCTACTCTCTTATCATTCTCTCACTCTACCACAACTTCTAACTGGTTTACCTTCTAACCCTAAAAGGTGTGCCTTTTTTGGCAGTTTTGTGTGGCCTCATCACACCTGCTATTCACCTTGCCCACCTATCTTTTCGATTGGCTGATCCGACTTAGACCGCCTATCCGTATCTCTTTCATACAACGGTAGATCAGTTTCTTATCTTTCTGGTTGACTGATTTCACTCGGTTCCAGTCCAAGTGTACTTTCGACTCCAGGCCCTATTTCTCTAGCTTTTATAAACACTTACGTCTGTGAATGTATGAAGACCACAGTGCCACGCTGAGAATTATGATAACTATTATAGCAGAGGACCTCGGACAAGGTGCGTCCAACTAAGTAGCCCTGACAACAAAATGAAAACGAGTCCACACCACTTATATACGTCGAAAGAAGACTTCGACCAAAATAGAGACCACAACATCTTGGTCTTCATATCCACGCTTAACGAGATTGTGGTTTCGCTGGCCATCCTCTCGCCGTTGCATGCTTCCGACTTAGATTCGTCCGTGCGTCTGTTTATAGACCTTTAGCTTCCTGGCTTCATTCGACAAGCCTCGACATGCAACCCTGCGAGCCTAATTGTGTCGCTCGCCACTGTCCCCCGCAGTGCAACCTTTTGTCAGGTCGTGAGGCTTCTGCCGCGGCACCAGCCGGCAGCCCCTCTGGTCTTTGTCTGCACATGTCTGAGGGGAACGACTATTGTCTGCTTGTCTTTGCCAAATGTGTACATGTGTGTCGTGGTGTCGGACACTGTCTGTCCACATTGTCTCCCACTTTCGGAGAGAAGTGATTCCCGTCTGACCATCTTTATTCCCTTCCTTCACTCAGACTCGTGCCCTGCCGAGGCTCTCTCTGCTCCCGTGATACCTTAACGATCAAGATGCACTGACAAGCACGATGCCTTGACGACCATGACGAGATTCGAAGGTTAATCCCATCTGAAGACGACGATGAATTCCTCTTGGTCAGCCGTCATTGGGCTCTGGCCGATGCTGTCTTCGAGATAATCACGTTCATTTCTGGTATCCAGGCGTAAATTGAGCTTTAAAAAATACAAGTGGTATTTTAAAATTGATGACCGAGGACAGATGTTACGCTCTCATCTAATTACTTGTACTTTCGGTTGTTGACCCAATGAACACTTTAACGCGCACATGCATGCACCAAAGGATAAACACACACATCTTTTCACTACCCAAATATATCTATACCTTACACAAAATCATAGGTTTAGCGCACAAATTAAAGGCATATAGGCAAAATACAATAATTTTCTTGATTATTTAGCATGAATTAGTTATTAGAGTGCTAGTCTTCTCTAATACTGTCTGCTTAGCTACTTCGCAGGCGAAGTCTCAACATATAAGATGTACTCACCTTATTTCGTTTATGGTGATGAGGAGACTGGTAATTAATTTTTTCTCCAATGGTATGAGTAGACATGACGTTAACATTGAATTTCACTTGGCCTTGTTTTCCATAAGATATTCTCATCCAAGCAAGAGTCATCTGCAGTTTCGGCCTCGCCTAGGTCTTATCAACACCCCCACCGGGACTCGAAACAAGAAAGTGAAGCGTATAATCTCGACACGTTAACCACTACACCATATTGTCACGGGTGTCCTTGGATCACATGGCAGATGTAAATTTCAAGTAAGACCAGGCCTTTTGCCATATCACATTCTGTGGTGGGATTGTCGATGAAGTAAAATTTTATTTGCTATTTCAATCGACTACACTACTTATTTTTCGTTTAAAAGTAGGTTGTCTAGACTACCAACATGCTGTGTGAAATTCACGGGAAACCTAAGTTCTATTTACATAATTGTAGAAAAATCAACTACTACTCCTCTTATAGTCTTAAACGAAGTATGGTGAACACATCTCATGTTTACTTCGTTGTCTTCGCCGTGCCTCTCTTTCCGGGCAGAGCAGATCTGTCTTATTCCTGTAGAAGTTTTGGCCTCTCCGATTTCGTTCTCCGGCCAGTCCTGCTTGTTGTGAAGTCTTTTGTGGCAGATTTGACTCTGGCTGGTACGGAGCCGGTGGCCGATGCCAACTTTACCTTTCCTTATGACTGGTCGGCACTCAAAAACCTCCAGAGGATGGATCGGGCATGATTTGGCGGCCCGGTTGAGTCTGTTTAGATTGCTCTACCGATCGAATTTCAGAACTTTTAACAATCCCACCACCATATATCCCCACTGCAGAGTGTTGCATGACTGCGGAGACCAACCTGTTGCAGCTGGCAATGCAGTACCAACTTTTTTTTCTTGACTCCTCATTTACACAGGTTAGCAACCAGAAGTGACCCTCATAACCTCCTGACCGGCTCGTTACAGTCTGCTCACAGTCCGAGGTACAGGGAGGAGTGATACTTTTTCGTGTCGATCCACAGCAATCGTGCGTTTGCCCATTCGACCGTCTACAGACAACATCTTGTCCGCCCATCAGCTGGAAAGAGCTTAGCGGTACCTTCAGGCCTGACAATAAACTGCACCCCCGTGGCCTCAAGCCACCTTCGGGCCAACAAGCAGATTGCCCTCCCAAGCTTGGCTGGCATCTTGTATCAAGAAAGTGTCGTTCTATGAAAGTTTGTGGATGTCTTAGTGTGCATCGGTTTCATAGCCCGCATGAGCTCGTATGGAGCCGGTGGTTCCTTCTCCTAAAGAAAGGTCAATGCTGAGGGAGCCCTACAAGTAGTTTTTACGAAGACTCGATAAGCAGATGTTGGGGTTAAACTGTGTTTTCGAATTATTAACCCATAACCTAACGCTTCATGCAAATAAAATTCATCACCTTTTCAAGTAGGCCTTACTGAATCCTGATAATCTCGCAAACATTAACAAGCGAAAATTAACTGCGATGCCCGAATTCTGCCGACCTAAAGGGCGAGAGTGGCTTACAGTCCACCCAGACTCGGGGCCCCAGGCCTTCCCTCCTTCCCAGCACCATTTTTTGCTTATCTCAAGGCAAGGATACAAAAATTTTATGACTTGTCTTTCAGAGGGTCTCTGCTGACAACCTCAAGCAATGTTCGCCCAGCATTTCAAGTGTCCAATGGCAAACCAAGCACAAAGCACTCAGCAACACACAAACTTTGATTGGTAGTAACAAGCCAACTCCTGCCTGCACTTCGAGACGAACATGCTGTCACGATGATTTTAAGAAATACTGACCAAAAGGTTTGATCAATGACAGGACTGTCCTCAAGTCAATGAATTGAGGAAGCTCGTTTAATGCTAGATTCTTGTGTTGTTGAGGCAGGCAAATTAGACTTATTTCTGGTTTTGATTGATAAAAGACATATTTACGATCATTTGAGGTGAATGCTTAAGCCTCAAATTATACACGGGGTTTGAACAGTAGAGGCGTAGGTTAATAAATAAACACTTTAGTACATCAACTAAAAT